AGGCGGGCGGGCAGCCGGCGGAGCCCAGCCGGGGCCGGGCGGCTGCCGATGCTGTCAACAGGCAGATCAAAGAGGAGGTGGCGGCGGGGGTCAGCTCGTCCTACAGGTGAGAAGACATCTCCCCGTCCCCACCCCCATCCGTCTAGATCCCCAGCCTGCCGCGCCCTTGCCAGGTCTTATCTGGTTCCTCTTTGCGCTTCCCCGGAGGAGCATCCCACCCTGGGAGTGCGGCTGCGAAACATTCCGGGGGGGGCTTGCAGATTTCCTGCCGGGGGGGTGTCCTTAAATTCCCCATCTCTCTGGGAATCGATGATGGGGCAGTAGGTATTGTGCTATTGTGGACACTTTTTGTCGGCAGCGGGTTTGGCAGCGGGTTTGAGTGCCTTTGTGTCGTGCCGTCGTCCCCACCCCACTCCCCCGCCGCCACTGCATTCCAAAATTCAGAGACAGCCGCCACCTTGGATTTCCACAGGGGTAATGTTTGGGGTCACCTCCGTGGGGATGTGCAAATCGCCTCTAGTCCTTTCCAAGCACATCCCTGGCTGTATTGCTGCAGCCAACCCAAAGGATCAGCAGCCTGACCGCATCTCAGGGGGCCCACGCAGGAATGGGATGCCCGACACGCAGGAGCATCCCAGGAGGCATCTCAGGCTGGCCCGTGCTCAAGACAAAGCATCCCAGCTATGCGCCAGGATGAGGGATCTGTATCCTAGGCCGCTTGGGTGGGGCAGCCTTGAGATGCTGCCATGTTTTAATGCAGCGCAGCAGGGGATGACACATCTTTCTGTCTCCCCCTAACAGCTCCCCAGCCAACTAGAAATGGATGCCCTTATTTCACCTCAGCAGTAGACTTTGTTGGGGATTCAGAGTGTGAAACTCCTTGCAGTGAGCTGCTGTTGTTTTTTCTCTCTGGGTCAATGTTCAGTGTGTTGGGAATGCAGAAGCAGAAGTGACGGGGTGGCTGCCCTGCATGTACGTTTTGCAAGGAGGGTTTGCTGTGGTTGTGTTTTCCAGTGCTTTCTTTGTCAGAGCCCGCCACTGCCGAGACCAGGGTGAGGGGGGCATAGAGCAAAGCTGGGGGTTGTGGTGACAAAAGTGTGATTGCAGCCTTTTTGCTTTTCCCTATAGCTGTGTGAATGCTGAGGTGTTTATGCCTTTGAATTATTTATTTTCCTTCCTGGAGAGATTAGAGGTGGCAGCTGTGACTTGACTTCTCCGTCCCACTGGTGGTGCAGAAAAGCTGTCAGTCATCTGCTTTCCCCCCTGTGTAAGTGGGAAACACTTCAAGCAGTGAGATCTTGATTTCTGCTGTCTTTTGGCATCAGCTCTCACTGGATATTGCTGGGGGCTCAGGTGCGTAGAGTAGTGACTTGGTGCTGAGACACAAGAAAATGGCCAGGGATTTTTGGGGCCTCTGGTTTGCAGGGGTGGAGAGTGCGGGGAAAGGGATCTCTAGGAGTGACACAGCTCTTAAATCCGCTGTGAACTGAGACTCAGCTTTTTGTCTGCTCCTCTGGGCTTGTGCTGGAGACAGCAGGGCTAAAGCAGAAAGTTCCCCTGGAACTGGAGAGCCGATGTGTTGCTTCTCTTCCACTGCTACAAAGGATAATTAGATTTCTTTGCATATTTAAATGCAGATTGCTCACCTTCCTATCCCTCCAGTCTGCTCCAGCAAATTCCTAATGCACTGGGCTAGGATTCCCCCTCAAGGAAAGGGGTTGGATCAGCAGGGATGTTAAACCTAAGAAGAACTAGAAGGATTCAGCTTTCTTTGTGTTGCTTGTTGGCTTTCACAATACTCTTAGGCCTTCTCTTTCCACTTGAGAAAGTGTTTTCCCACTTCCATGTTTTTCTTCCTTGCCGCATATTGCAGAAGTGTTTGCTCCGACGCTCAACCGTAGAACATGAGCACCTCTTCATTAATGAATAAGTGATGTTTTGGCTAATTGTTCTCATTTTCTGTTCAAATTAGGCATCTTCTAAGTGCTGTTTATTCTTTGGGTTCTTTTTAAAAACCAAATTCTCCAAATCCTGATTACTACCAAGATCCTGTCTGCTGACGTACTCGGTGGGTATTGAACATCTCCAAGGATGAAGACTCACAGCCTATTGGAGCAACCTTATGGGCCACCCAGGAGCCAAAAATTACCTCCTAATGACCTCTTGCTAGAGAGGAGCAAGGATGGCTTACATGGGGCTTTTCTTCCTTGTGCGTGGATCAAGGCTCCCCATCAGCAGAGAGTGGGGGGGAGATTTCCTTAGTCTTCTGTCACTGATGCAAATCAGTGTTACCAAGGCTGGTATACAATTCCTTGGTGAAACCAAAGAGCAAATCAGCAATAGTTAAGCTCACTCTGTCCCACTGGGTACTATTTCCATGTGAGGAATACCTGAGAGCATGGGATAGAGTAAGCTACTAGCCCAAGGTCATGGGGGGAAGTCCACGCTAAAGGGAAGAATTCTCTTTTCTAACCTGTGTGTACCTAGACAGATGAATATCACAAAGACCATGTGCCTGTGACCTCCTCCCAGGTCCACCCAGAGGTACACAGCAGAGGTGGTGCCTGGTGGTGATGTCCATGGAAGATGGAGGTTCCTCCCAGCCAGAGGAATGAGTGATTTGTTTGTATTAGCATTTGAGCCAGAAGCCTTCAGTGAGGGCAGAGTGGCAGGACTGTGGATGTCTGCCAGAGACTGCCTGTGCCCAAGGATCCTACAGAACAAATAGGATTTATTTCCAATATTTCTAGTATTTCTTTATCTCGTTCATAATATCTGCATTATTTATATATTTATATTTAGATATTTATTAATGATAATTTATTAACTATTCAGTTATATATGGGATTTATATATGTACTTATTCCCACTTCTCTCACTGGCTGTGCTGTGGTCAAGCAAGGTTCCAGCACTGAGGGGTTTCTTGCCTCAGTTTCCCTCCCCAGCATATGAGCTGCCCAAGTTTACAGGTTACCAAGGCAGATTACATCTCCTTCACCCCCCTCTTCTCTTTGGTCCTGCTTCTCAGGGTGGCCTGTGGACCCTGAGGGACCAAGGACTAGGGAATCCTTCAGTCAGGTCAGTGACTAGCCCCTTGGAAAGCCACTGGTGGTGGATGAAGCCATTTCTTGTTCAGTTCTGTGAGGGCTTTATCTGTGTTGGGTGAAGGGATTTCTCCCCCTGAACTTCTGGATGGGATGGGCAGAGCCTTTCTCCCTACTGCACCAAAGGGTGGAGGGGGCTGGACCTGACCCTGGGGATTTGGGACCAGAGAGAGCAAGTGACAAAATGTGCACACAGCGGCATTTGCTGATGGATGTGAAAAAATTAGAAGCACATTTGGCAAAAATAAAAGAAGGAATGAATGCTTTCCATTTTTATTTGAAAATTATGGGAAAATTACAGAATTGTTTCTTGGATGTTCCCCTCTCCTTTCTTTGTCTTACATTCTGCTTATTTTGTTACCTTTATTCCCTGAAGAAAAAAGATACAAAAGGGAAACCATTTACTCCCTTTGTAAAGTATCGACATGAGTACTAAGAAAATTAATTTCCCCCTGAGGAGTAATATTACAAAACCAGATTTGAATTTATTTTTTTTTTTTTTTTACCAAACCAAACCAATTATTCTTTCTCTCTCACCAACTTCCTTTCCTAGCAGAGGAAACAAAACAGTATAGGCTTCAGTGGAAAATTTTGGACTGCCTCTAGTACTAATGAATTGCCTGTTGCTAATGCTCTGTCATTCATCTCAAACCCTGGAGTTACTGAAGATGTGGAGCAAATGAGAATTTGTAGTAGCTATAGAGACAAATGAGTCAGCGCTGGAGACTTGCTGCTGTGGTTTTCAGAGATACAGCAGAGATAATTTAGGGAGGGATGTCCACACAGGAAGGCTGGACCAAGATAAAAAAGGGCAGGAAATTCATACTCCTCCTTGTTCTGAAGACCGGCTGGGGGAACTGGGGGTGTTCAGACTGGAAAAGAGAAGGTTCTGGGGATACCTAAAGTGCCTAAAGGGGCTCCAAGAGCCAGAGAGGGACTTTGAGCAAGGGCCTGGAGGGACAGAACAAGGGGAATGGCTTCCCACTGTCAGAGGACAGGGTTAGAAGTGATATCAGGGAGAAATTCTTGGCTGTGAGGGTGGTGAGGCCCTGGCACAGGTTGCCTGGAGAAGCTGTGGCTACCTCATCCCTGGAAGGGTCCAAGGACAGGTTGGATGGGGCTTGGAGCAGCCTGGTCCTGATGGCTCTGAAGATGGACATCCCACTAGACAAGCCCGGGACATGTTGGTAATGCCTCTGTGATAACATTTAAGAAGAAAATCAAAACAAAGTGGGGCACAGTTTTTCTATAACCAGAGAAGAGGAGGAGGTGAGACCATGTGAGAGAAACAACATGGAGACACCAAGGTAAGTGGAGAAGGAGGAGGAGGAGGTTCTCCAGGCACCAGAGCCCAGATTTCTCTTCAGGCCATGGGGATGACCATGGTGAAGCAGATTGTCCCCCTGCAGTCCATGGGGATCCATGGGGAGTGCAGAGATCCACCCACAGCCCGTGGGGGAGGTACCAACATCAGAGTGGGTGGATGCCTGGAGGAGACCAGTGAGAGACCTGGTAGAGAGAGGGGACCCCTGCTTCCAGGCTGGAGCAGCCTGTCCTTGGAGGACTGTGCCCCATGGAAGAGTGACCCACACCACAGCAGTTTTGGGAGGAATGTTTTCCCATGGGAAAGACTCACATTGCAGCAGTTTTGGGAGGACCGGTGATCGTGAGATTGGAATGATGCTGGAGAAGTTCACAGAAAACTGTCTCCCATGGGAAGGGACCCCATAGTGTATCAGGGAAGGATTTCTCTCCCTGAGCAGTGGAAGATCTTGGGTGATGAACTGACCAATACCCCCACCCTCTGTCTTCCTGATCTGTCGATGGGAAGCAGGGAGGGGTTGGGGTAAAAAGGTGTTTTTAAGGGCTCATTTTACTTCTCATTATCCTCCTCTGACTTTGTTAGTAATAAATTTGCTTTGTACTTCTAAGTTGAGCATCTTTTGCCCTTGGAGTGTTTTCTCTCAGTCCTTAACTCATGAACCATTCATTTATTTTTTTT